TATGATGTTAAAACAGGGTTTTATGTCGTTACAAGTGGGTTTTTTAACATTATCTAGTATAGTAAAATCGTGGGACCGATAAAAATTTGACGTTATATTAGAGTTGTCGTTACATCCGATGTCGTTATAATCGGGTTAAACTGTATGTGCAATATTTTTAGTTAACTATGGAACACAAACTTTCAATAAATTTGTAGAGGAATTAAAAGTAATAGAAAGCAATGCAAGAAATGGAATTTCTCTTTTTGAACATGAGAATAGTGGGCTTAGTACAATTGAACCTGAAGAACAAATTCGGTCGAATAACGAGCCCTGTTCAAATCAATCAAATAAAAACTTAAAATTCAAAACTAAAATTAAATCCAAAGGATGTCCAAAGAGAAAAACTAAGCAGACCATTTAAAAAAAAATTTAAATTTANTTTTCCAGTTTAAGAGATTTAAAAAAGTGTAAAAATAAATTTCAAAATGCAAACAATATTATATAGTAGATCTTGGGTGTAGTGGACTCTCTTCAACTCATTTAGCTATTAAAAATTATTGTATGTTTACAATACTATGCAGCAGTTCTTAAATAATAAATAAACTGTTCTGTTTTGTATTTAAAAAAAAAAATGTAATTAGAACAGTAATCAGAAATAATTAAAGAAATTATATAGCTATTTTTATGCAATAATTAATTAATTAATTAATACAATTTGGTACTAGAACTGTTAAGTACAATTTTATGCTAAATTAAATAATTAGAAATTAATGATGAATTAATTTAGAGAAATTTAGAACAAAAGATCTGAAATAGAGTTGTATTCAAAACTGCAACTGCTGAAAACTATGTAGGCAGCATTACTAATTATACTGTCTAGGTTTCTGAAGTGTGGTGTCTGTCAGTTTTCATAATGTATGATTCATATGATTAATACTGATTTTGTAATTTCCTTCTTCTTTAAGATCCTATGAGTTTTTTTAATGCCTTCCTTTCATAATGCAAGGGAGAAATTACAGCATTGATGTACCAATGTTTGATTCAAAGAATGTCAGTGTTATGTAAACATGGAACTGTGAAAAGTTTGATGATCTTAAAGGGACAAAGAAATTCTATTTAAAAAAAATGGCACTGAAGATAAGGATGATATTTTTACTATTGTATTTACTCAAATATAAGACACATTGGATCTAAGGCCTGCATCACACTGGATCAGACAAAACAGTCTTAGTCAAGATGTTTTGTCTAAAGCATTTGACAGTTTAGCATCAGACCAGACTAGTCAATGTGTCTGAAATAAAAAAGCTAATACAGGTATCCCTTGATTGATTCAGTTAATTAATCCCACAATCCTATCAAAATTGCATTAATCAAAATATGGTATCTATGTTAAGTAAAGACAGCTAGTAAAGCTGCGTAAATTAAAATTTCTGCGGCGTGTATAAAGGGTTTGCCGCAATGAATTTTGTGCATTAATCAAATGCCACATTAAGCAAGAGATACCTGTACTCAGTTATGACTAAGTTGGTAATTGTTTAATGGAGTAAAATGGTAAAACCTGATCAGAATTTCAAAAAATGAAGGACAAAATATGAAACAAACTTTCTTTGTTAAAAATTCTGCATTTTTTATCTTGCAATGTAACTTAAGAATGCTTAATGTTAATACTTTTGTGGTGCCTGCAGTACAATGAAATTACATATATAAATATATGCTTTTTGGTCATCATTTTCAAAGTCTGTACTATCATTTTCAAGCTGCAGCTTTCAGACACTAATTATAAATAAATGGTCTTTCTCGTATCTATACCAACAACTTTTTACTATCAAGTTCCATTTTGCTTGGATGACTACTTGTGCTCTTGCTCTGGCTGACAGAGCATGCGCACAACAGTCTGTCTGATACACACTTCAGAGACGATGAAGCGTAAGATACCATCGTCTTTTTGACTAATCATGACTAAAACTGGCTCAAGCAAGACAACTGATCCACTGTATGGCATCCCCTTCAATACAATGAAAACACCATCGTTTTACTCTGTTTCAGATGGTTTTGTCTTGTCTCAATGTAACTAAGACTGTTTTGTCTGATCCAGTGAGATACATCTTAATTTTTACATGCTCACCCATGAATCTTTTTGGGGAAAAAAAACTTGAAACAAAGTTATGTTAGCAGAACTGATTCTATTGACACAAATTTGTTCAGTATTTATTGGAAGTAAAATAAATTATATCACTGTCTTAAATGATATTAAAGTTGAAAACCATTTCACCTTTTGTTTTAGGCTCTTCTGAATCTATATTTGGATTCTGTGCTTACATCTTCCCACATGCAGTCACACTCAGTGTCATTTAAAAAGCATCAGAAATGTAACATTTCTTGGAAGATTTCTGCATTAAGTATTTGGGATTTCTGTCCAAGTACTTAAGACATTGCTGTAAATTAATAGTAACAAGATTGAGCTAAATTGACCTAAAAAATTTTCTACTGGTCATATAAAATCATTAAAATGATGCAATTAGTAACTTATAGTGAGAGAGAAATAAAATATACCTTATTTTCAGATACTAAAACCTGAAAAAAAAATGCATTTTACATTCAAATAAATACAGTAATACAGTGGTTTTCAAACTTTCTATACCTCTGCCCCCTCTTTTTCAGAAAAAATATTGTTGTGCCCTCCTCAATTTTCATAACAATCTAATTTTGTAAATACTGTCCTTATAATTTATTCAATGGCCTGCCTACAAAACAATATTAAACCTTATTAAATAAAATATATTCTTTGCCCGGGCTCGACTCTTGTCACAACATTTCAGCAAGATGGATTTTTAGCATTTGTATCCAAGTCGTTCAGATGAGGGTTGTAGACATTACCGTTTAGGCATAACCATTTTTCTGATTCATTTTTTACGTCGATTTGACATTTTTGTTGTTTGTATTAAAAAATGATAATTTGATGAATACACCCCTTGCAATAGTCTCATGCCTCACAGGTTGTAAAACACTGCAGTAATGTATATGGTAAACATGTAATCTACTGCACTGTCTATTTAACAGAGATTTTGGGGGATAGTAATGATAAAAAATTAAAATAATTGAGCAGACACTGTAATCTGTAAAGGTAAAAATACATTAATAATGTGCAAGCAATAAAAAAAAAGCTATTTTTTATGTTACCTGGTAGTTTATAAAAAGTGCACTGCAGTTTCCACAAGTACTTAGTTTTGTTAAAGTACAAGAAGATATTTTTAATTTCTAACAGTGATTAAGAAATTGTAGATATTGTATTAACTCCATTTGAGCAGATTGAAACATGAAGCTATCAAAAAATGATAATTTCTTAACAGCAATTTTCTGTGTTACTTTTAAATTCTATGTAATACCCTGATCTGTTAGTTATCAAAGTAGTATTTGGTTGTGAACATTCAAGGTTAATTGATGTTAAATTAATTAATTAAGGTTGATTTTTGTGGCCTATGTAATTATCAGTGATGATAAACATCTTTCAGTTTTCATGTTAATTAACTTTTTGTTCTTTCTATATAATATGTCTCTGTAATCCAAACAAATTTGGTAGACAGACTCACAGCCAAACTTTAAGTTAGGAACTCACTTTTATTTTTAAAAAAATGACAAATGCATTTCAGGTTGGTACGTGCATCCAACCCCTCTTCAGTGCTAATTTTTAAAAAACAATAAAAAACTATAATAATCAGTACATGACATCAAATACACTACAAAATATTTCTACGTACTTACTCTTAAAAATAAAAATTGTGTATGGGCTACCAACACATCTAAACACCAACACCTGTTTTTCATCTTAGAATTATCGTACAAGCTTAAAGAGCACTTGAAGTGTTTGCATAACATCACTTCTAAAAACAAATTATTTTATGACTATTTTGTAGAATTAACAAAGGTATACAAAAACAATATATTACATACTGTTAAAATATGTATTTTGATATAAATAGTATACGAACAATCCACAAAACACTTAGCAAAACATTAGCACCCTTCTTCTAATCAATCGCAATAATTTCGTTTTTTATTTCTATGTAACGCCCTCTATCATTTTGTACCAGCGAGAATCTATTTGCATACCATCGGAAATATTTATTAAATTGTTATTTTGGTTTTTCTTTATTTCTAAGTGTTCTTTGAATTTACGTTTATATGTGTCTTTTTCATGATGTAAAATTTTAATATTATTGTGATTAATTTTACAATTATTATTTTCCGTGTGTTCATACCATGGGGAATTTTTATATTTTAACTGAATAGCCGCTTCATGTTCCTTTATTCTTACATCTAATACACGACCAGTTTCTCCTATATACCTACATGGGTTCAGACAATTACATTCTAATTTATATACGACACCTGTCTTTTTTAGAGGATCTATATTATCATGGTTACTTCTGTTAACATATTTAGAAACATTATTTGAAATCTTATTGGTCAAAGATGGGGCCAAACATATCATATCTTTCTTAAGAATTTTACTGAAATTTTCAAATATATCTTTTATGTATGGGAATATTTTATGTTTTTTCATATTTATATTTTGTATTTTTATATTCTTAAAAAATAGATATAATACAAAATATAAATATGAAAAAACGTATAAAATATTCCCAAGTTATTATGTTCGAACTATGCTAATCATTTTTGTTAATTTAAACAGTAAATGTTTTGTTATTCTTTTTGGTCTATGATGAATTTTGGTGTTTTTGTATAGATGCTCTATATTTAAGATTTTTGATTGAAAATGACAAATTTTTCAGGAACTATAATTAACAAATCATCTTTTCAGATTTCTCCCCTATTTAAACCAATATAATTATGACCACCTTTTTGATTAAAAACTTTAAATTTACAATACTTAGATGAAAATTTTCCAGAAATGCTAAAAATACTGGTTTCTTTTTAATTTATTTATATAAATAAATTAATTTTATTAAATCCAGTTTTATGATCATATATAACTGCTTGTTGTATTAATTTTTCAGATTGGAAGTAAAATTCGTCAATGGTAACCGAAGAACATTGTTTTTGCTGAAATTTTCTCTAAATCCCGAAACCCATTTAGAATTGCCAATAATTCCACATTATCTTCATCTTCGAGGCGTAAATTTCAGGTATTTTGAAATTTTTGGTTAAAAATTATTAATTCTATTAAAATGTTAAATTCTGTGTATTAAAGATTTCCTTAGTGCAATGTCTAGTGCCATTTAATCACCAGTGAATACAATGGAACTTAAGAATTTGATGAAAATACTTGAAAATACTAAATTTTTTAAACATTCAAATATATTTAAATTGGATGTCACAAATTATATTTTAAATACTTCATGAACAATATTACGATTCTTTGGCATGCATGACCAAAGTAATATGTCATATTCGGTGCCTCCATAAAACTTTTTTGATGCTGGACAGTTAGGGTGGCAGCCACCACTTTGGGAAACTCTGGATCAAATCCAGATGGGTCGAAAAACCCCAGGAATTTTTTCAGGAGACTGTCCATCCAATAAGTCGATCCCTGGTACCTCTTCACCCAGCCACCCCATCATGAGCTTGCTAAAAAAAGAGGTCCTCTTAGTGCCCACAGGACAGAAAGAGATGGGGGGAAAGGTACATCAGAAGAATATAACTAGCAATTGGCAGGCTAACTATTTTTATTTATATGTTAATTTAGTTAGTCCAAAAAGAAAAAATTTATTAATAGCAAATAACATAAACAAAAAGAATATTATATTTAATTTCAGTTGACAAATTCCTTCTAAACAATAAATTTTCAATTTTATTCTATGTAATTTAAAATTAAATATATATATTTTATCATAGATAATCTGAAAAAATTGTCATTTTTGCTTTAGTAACTGTATTCTTTAGTTGAGGTATGCCTGATTTAATTCTTTTAGTGTGAATAGTCACTGAATTTTGTGGGAAATTTGATAAAAATTGAAATTATAATTATTAACAACTTAATAAAGCAGACCCAAAATATTTTATGTAATTCTATAATGTGATTATTCAAGATGCTGCATATATGAATACTAATTTTTACCAAAGTGTCTATTTATACATACAGTATGTATATGCAATTGGCTATTTAACCCTTTTAAAGCCATGACATAAAGATGACAGTTTTAATGTTGTTTATAATTTAGGATATCCTAATTATGATATCGATTATCGAGAAATGAGAATTAAAAATAATAGCATTAAGGAAAATCTTGACAGCAAAACATCAAAATTTTATAATACATCAGTGGAAACATGTTCTTTTTCATTTTGGAATTCTTTTAGTGCACCATGTCATCATATTCTTATGATAAGAAAATATAATAATTTGGACATATTTTCAAAAACTTGCTTTCATGCAAGATAGTGCATTTTCAATTAAAATAATATAAGTATGGATACAGATGATGTAAATGTAGACATCGATGATCATATTGAAGATGAAACTTTTACTGATGATTTTGATTGTCCCAACAAAATATTATCAGATAGGGAAAAATTTAATATGGCAATGGCAATAAACAAAATACAGTTTAACCTGCTTATAACGTCATCCATGGGACCGGCAATTTTTTGACGTTATAACCGAGTGTCGTTATCTGCGGGGTCATAATTTCAGTCCCATAAAAGTATCAAGTCTGTTTAAGAATCTATTATAAAATTCATCTAATTTAATATCGTATGTATAAAAGTGCAAACTAAATATTTAAATCAACTTTATTTACATTATTATGTCTAAATTTACAACGATGTAATTAAAAATTTCAAAAATTATTTTTTATAAGAAATTTTTATTTGTCAAGTTTCGATAATGGCGGCACTTTCGGTTTTAACGCCTGGATGGTAATTTTCTCGTTTCTTGCTTATCTATCAATGGACATGAAGTCCAATATATTTCACTTTTAGGTTAAATTAATGTATATCAATTAAAAAGAAACAATAAAAATATTCACTTAAAAAAAGTCAGTTATTTTAGATTGTAGGCATTTTTCACCTAAAAATTGTTTATCAATGTCATTTTCTAAGTCGTAGATTTTGTTCATTATTTCCGATGAAGTTTTACGAGACCTGTAGAATTTGCTAAACCAGAGTCTCTGCATAATCTTTTTTCTTCCACTTTCAACTGCTTTAATTATTTCTACTTTGCAGTCTAATGTTAACGCTTTCCTTTTTAAGCTAGCCATTTTACCTGATTTGATGCTAAACTACAACACGAATATGAGAGCTATGCAGACTAACCCACTGTCACGTCGTTTAAAGGGGTGGCGCATCTCACCCCATTGAATCAGGTGGTGACAGTACCACCCACAATCGTTCTAGGAAGCGGACTCTGACCTTAGGACTGAACACAGTATTTTCTTTGATAAATAAAATTTATAATTTAATTTTGTAAATTTAAAAGTGCTTCAAATATGATGTTAAAACAGGGTTTTATGTCGTTACAAGTGGGTTTTTTAACATTATCTAGTATAGTAAAATCGTGGGACCGATAAAAATTTGACGTTATATTAGAGTTGTCGTTACATCCGATGTCGTTATAATCGGGTTAAACTGTATGTGCAATATTTTTAGTTAACTATGGAACACAAACTTTCAATAAATTTGTAGAGGAATTAAAAGTAATAGAAAGCAATGCAAGAAATGGAATTTCTCTTTTTGAACATGAGAATAGTGGGCTTAGTACAATTGAACCTGAAGAACAAATTCGGTCGAATAACGAGCCCTGTTCAAATCAATCAAATAAAAACTTAAAATTCAAAACTAAAATTAAATCCAAAGGATGTCCAAAGAGAAAAACTAAGCAGACCATTTAAAAAAAAATTAAAATTAAAATACAGAATAAAAGATAATAAATTTATTTTACTTTATTTATATACCTACCAATCTACTTTAAATTTCATTGCCTATATTTCACTGATTTAATGATACTTCATAGTTTATTGATTACTTTATTGAACAACATTGTAACTGAACTTTAATAAATAAAACTAATTATTTATAATTGTGTAGTTATTATCAAAATATTAATTGTAATATTAGTGCATAGAGTTAGTATCTGGCTGGAATATAGGAACATACAGTCAGTATGTATAAATAGCCAATTGTGTATACATACAGTATGTATAAATAGCCACGTTCAATTTTTATAGGTTGCTCAAAAAGTTTTGTGCTTCTCTATTATCTATGCATGTATTCGTATTTACTTCTAATCAATTTACTATCCACTGCCATTAAAGGGCATTAATTTGTTAGCGATATCCGATTTTTGGAATATCCCATAATTGGAAATAATTATTATTTTGCATTTAAATTTATTATAAAACTGAAACACTATTAATGTTTTTACTTCATTATTTATTTATTTTTTCATGTATGATTTTTATAAATATATTATTTAAACTTTTATTTGTGTAATTTTAGAAAATCCCAGTTGTTTTATTATTTAAAGAATTTGGAACTTTTAGTATAGCAGAATTATGAAGAGAATTACTCAACATGTTAAATGAATGATTTCTTTTTTGTGGGTTTTTCCAGAACAGGCTGCTCTATAAATTATTTTATATGAAATGATTCTATATTTATTATAACATAAATTTATAGTAATTGTAATCATTAGAATCTTATACAGGTATACCTCAGGTTATGTCGTTTTGAGTGAAGTCATTCTCAATTTTTTTTTTTTTGATCAAATGACATACATTGAAAAATAAAAATCAAGCTTATAAGTCATTTTATTCAACTTTGCCTGTCCACCACAAATATTAAGTTGTAATATCACTAGAAAAGTGTTAAAAGCGCACAAAATCATATTAAAATACATATATGTACAGTAAATGTTAATTATTTATAATATAATCATCATCAAATATGAAAATGAAAACATCTGTGACTCTGTGTTGTCGTCTTATTTAGCAGTCTTTAAGAGCTCTATATTGGCATTTTCCACAGTAGTTCCAATATCTACTGTTTGGCATTGTTGTCAACACCACTCGATATTGGTAAATTTAACATAAATTAATTTATTTTCTACTATTGCAAAATAATTTTAATAACTGTGTTTGTTATAAAATAAGATGATTTTGTAAGGTTAAATAATGTCTTAGAGCAAACCACATTCACAAATAGAGTCCGAGCTGTACTGTAAACATCACAAATTGTAAGCATGTATATTTACAAGTATGTACAGTACATACATATATTTGTAAATTTAATTACTTTTTTCCCAGTACTATATTAATTAAAAACTAAAATTTATTTGTTTGTAAGCTTAAAATAGATTCCTATTAACCATATATTATTAAAAATGCATTTATAAGTAAAATACAGGACTGGGAATGGTTATTTGTGATTTAGCCTAGTGACAAGTAAATTCAACTTAAGTCGCCTTTCCTGGAACAAATTACCAACATAACACGAGGTACACCTGCACATGAAAAAACTTATATTACACTTAGGATTCTGTAACTGAGACACACATTTGGCAGAATCTACCATCCTAGTTTCCTATTAAAGGAAAAAATGTGTGTGTGTTTGCTTTTGCATTTATCCAGATGCAAAAGAGATCTTTCCAGCATTGCATGAATATATGCTTAGCGTAAGTTAACTTAGTTTTACCACAATGCCTACAATAAATATAAATGAATTTGTTCAAAAACAGGACACATTTATGTTGCACGGTAGTTCTGTGACAATATGTAAATTTTCCAGTCTCTTCTAGATGCAAAGGTAGTGGAACAAATCATTTTAAGATGATTTAGCATAATGTGCAAAGAATCTCTGACCGTAAAGGATAAAATCCAACATTGTATATGTTAAAAATGTCTTGGTCTCGGTACAGTTGGAAAGTGCTTGTAGATTCTGCATGCTGCATCTTGTGCATTTTGTTTGTTTCCTCACAACATAATTGTTTTGCGGTAGCATTCTTGTTCATCGGTAGAATGCATTGCTATGGCATTGTACCGATGAACAAGAATGCTACCGCAAAACAATTATGTTGTGAGGTAGAATGCCATAGCAATGCATTCTACCGATTAGTAGCTAGCATAATGTTGGCTCTTTTATAAGTGGCATGTGGCAAAATCGGTGTTGTCGCTGTACAATCCGTGTAGATGGATGCAAATTAAATACTCTTACGGGTTTGAAAAATTTACATATTGTCGCAGAACTTCTGTGCAATTTACATTAATTAATTTTTAATTCATTTAAAAATAAGATGTGTGCTATTCTCCAAAGAAATTAGAAGATAAAAATTGATGCATATAAATATTGACTTATTATATAAACCTATCTGTTATAGCATTCTTTAAAGCAAGGGTGGCGAATCTATGGCATGCATGCCCAAAGTGGTATGTTGGGAGAAATCTGGTGCATATCATACAATTACTTTATTACCTGTTTTCAGTTTTACATTTATTCCAATTAAAGTGTGTGTGTTTTGTTTCTTTAAATATAGTTGTTCTAAATCCAAAACTTTGGTGCACTTTTAAAGATAATTACGCTCACTTACATTAATTCAAAAGTTTGTCATCCTTGCTGTAAAGTAATTACCAAATTGGATTTAATAAATTAAATAGCTAATATTAAATTTTTGATTATAAGTAAATTTCTTGTTTGTTGATTAAATCAGAATATCTATCTTTCAGGGAGGAAATCGTAAAAGTGTGTGAAAGTGTGTTACCCGGTGAAAATTACTTATCCAGAACAATTTGTGCAGTGGAGGATTTTTTAACCAGAATTCAAAACACAGTTTAAACATATCCATGTCAATTTGACTATTAAAATTTTGTATTATATTGTCATTTATTGTTTTTAATTAATAAATATTATTTGACGGTGTAAGTTTGTAACTATTTGTAAGTCATTAACTGTATTTATTTCGGTATCTTATGATTATTTTGTACTGCGAAGTACTTTAGTCATTTGTTAGTTTTTAATCAATTTACCATAGTCATGGATCTACATATGGGAGACATCTTGTATTGATGATGAAGAGCCATGCAATTGTCCGACTTTAGAACTTCCCAAGCACTGGATGGATGTTGCAAATTGCCTAGTTGCATCTTACGTAATGACATCGCCATATTTTGGAGAGTTATACATTTTGTCGTCACTTCCCTTTAATGCAAGTAATTTAATTTATTTCTGTTTCAATTAATTTAGTTTTTGCATGTGTTGTATTATCATTTGTTTTATCTTCAAAGTTGTTTGTTCAAATTCTTAGATTTGTAATATACCATTTGGTTTTCAAATTCTTTGCCCTTGGGCAAGATGTTAAATACCTGTAAAGTTTATTAAAAGTTCTTTTCAGTTTTCATAATATGTTTTAGCATTGTTCCCTAATCATGTTAATTTTTTATCTTGTTATCATTGAAACGTTGCATATTCTGATAAAATTACTGTGTAATGAAAGAAACTGAAGAATATATTGAAACCTTGAGGTGGATTTCTGAAGTTAAGAGGTTACTTAGATTAAAACTTTTATGAAATACAAACAGTCTTGTCTCATTTTTAATATATTTCTTGAGATTTTCTGCATTGTCTTTATTTTCAACAATTTATACATTCAAAAAACAACAAAACTAAGCAGCAAATAGTTGGATTATTCCAATAAGGGTTTTAATCTCATCTTTTCTTTGTACAGAACCCATCGTTCAACTAAGTAAAAAATAATAATAATTAATAATAAAACCAAATATTAATTTATTTAAATTTTAATTCTANATAATACAAAATATAAATATGAAAAAACGTATAAAATATTCCCAAGTTATTATGTTCGAACTATGCTAATCATTTTTGTTAATTTAAACAGTAAATGTTTTGTTATTCTTTTTGGTCTATGATGAATTTTGGTGTTTTTGTATAGATGCTCTATATTTAAGATTTTTGATTGAAAATGACAAATTTTTCAGGAACTATAATTAACAAATCATCTTTTCAGATTTCTCCCCTATTTAAACCAATATAATTATGACCACCTTTTTGATTAAAAACTTTAAATTTACAATACTTAGATGAAAATTTTCCAGAAATGCTAAAAATACTGGTTTCTTTTTAATTTATTTATATAAATAAATTAATTTTATTAAATCCAGTTTTATGATCATATATAACTGCTTGTTGTATTAATTTTTCAGATTGGAAGTAAAATTCGTCAATGGTAACCGAAGAACATTGTTTTTGCTGAAATTTTCTCTAAATCCCGAAACCCATTTAGAATTGCCAATAATTCCACATTATCTTCATCTTCGAGGCGTAAATTTCAGGTATTTTGAAATTTTTGGTTAAAAATTATTAATTCTATTAAAATGTTAAATTCTGTGTATTAAAGATTTCCTTAGTGCAATGTCTAGTGCCATTTAATCACCAGTGAATACAATGGAACTTAAGAATTTGATGAAAATACTTGAAAATACTAAATTTTTTAAACATTCAAATATATTTAAATTGGATGTCACAAATTATATTTTAAATACTTCATGAACAATATTACGATTCTTTGGCATGCATGACCAAAGTAATATGTCATATTCGGTGCCTCCATAAAACTTTTTTGATGCTGGACAGTTAGGGTGGCAGCCACCACTTTGGGAAACTCTGGATCAAATCCAGATGGGTCGAAAAACCCCAGGAATTTTTTCAGGAGACTGTCCATCCAATAAGTCGATCCCTGGTACCTCTTCACCCAGCCACCCCATCATGAGCTTGCTAAAAAAAGAGGTCCTCTTAGTGCCCACAGGACAGAAAGAGATGGGGGGAAAGGTACATCAGAAGAATATAACTAGCAATTGGCAGGCTAACTATTTTTATTTATATGTTAATTTAGTTAGTCCAAAAAGAAAAAATTTATTAATAGCAAATAACATAAACAAAAAGAATATTATATTTAATTTCAGTTGACAAATTCCTTCTAAACAATAAATTTTCAATTTTATTCTATGTAATTTAAAATTAAATATATATATTTTATCATAGATAATCTGAAAAAATTGTCATTTTTGCTTTAGTAACTGTATTCTTTAGTTGAGGTATGCCTGATTTAATTCTTTTAGTGTGAATAGTCACTGAATTTTGTGGGAAATTTGATAAAAATTGAAATTATAATTATTAACAACTTAATAAAGCAGACCCAAAATATTTTATGTAATTCTATAATGTGATTATTCAAGATGCTGCATATATGAATACTAATTTTTACCAAAGTGTCTATTTATACATACAGTATGTATATGCAATTGGCTATTTAACCCTTTTAAAGCCATGACATAAAGATGACAGTTTTAATGTTGTTTATAATTTAGGATATCCTAATTATGATATCGATTATCGAGAAATGAGAATTAAAAATAATAGCATTAAGGAAAATCTTGACAGCAAAACATCAAAATTTTATAATACATCAGTGGAAACATGTTCTTTTTCATTTTGGAATTCTTTTAGTGCACCATGTCATCATATTCTTATGATAAGAAAATATAATAATTTGGACATATTTTCAAAAACTTGCTTTCATGCAAGATAGTGCATTTTCAATTAAAATAATATAAGTATGGATACAGATGATGTAAATGTAGACATCGATGATCATATTGAAGATGAAACTTTTACTGATGATTTTGATTGTCCCAACAAAATATTATCAGATAGGGAAAAATTTAATATGGCAATGGCAATAAACAAAATACAGTTTAACCTGCTTATAACGTCATCCATGGGACCGGCAATTTTTTGACGTTATAACCGAGTGTCGTTATCTGCGGGGTCATAATTTCAGTCCCATAAAAGTATCAAGTCTGTTTAAGAATCTATTATAAAATTCATCTAATTTAATATCGTATGTATAAAAGTGCAAACTAAATATTTAAATCAACTTTATTTACATTATTATGTCTAAATTTACAACGATGTAATTAAAAATTTCAAAAATTATTTTTTATAAGAAATTTTTATTTGTCAAGTTTCGATAATGGCGGCACTTTCGGTTTTAACGCCTGGATGATAATTTTCTCGTTTCTTGCTTATCTATCAATGGACATGAAGTCCAATATATTTCACTTTTAGGTTAAATTAATGTATATCAATTAAAAAGAA